ATTACAAATCTTTTACCAATCAAATATTCACGGCATTTAGTCAAACCGAAAATCACTGCCAAGACCTCCTGTTCAATCACAGAATATCTCGTTTCTACATCCCGAAAAACTCGCGAGAAAAACAGGATGGGTCTTTCCATACCATCAATTAAATGTAATAATGCTCCTCCAACACCCGTGTTAGATGCATCAACCGCTAATACGATTTCCAAATAATTGTTGAAACATACTAAAATTGGCTCTTCCCCAATCTTTCCCTTTAAAATTTCAAATGCCTCTTGCTGTTTCAATTTCCACTCAAAATGAATACCCATTTTTAATAACTCATACAACGAGGCTGCTACCTTCGCAAAATCCTCAATAAAACGATGGTAGTAATTTACCATACCCAAAATGACTGCACCTCAGCATTACCATTAGGCTGCTTCAAACTTAATATATTATTCAAATTTTTTTGTATTGGCTTCACCTCAATCCCATTTATTTGATGGCCTAAATATTCTACCTCCATTATGCCCAAAATGCTTTTCATCTTACTGGCTCTCAAGCCTTTATTATGAATTCTCTTAAAAACCTCCTCCAACCGTTGGTTATGCTGTTCAGGTGTCATCCCTGTAATTAGCACATCATCCATATAATAAAATACTCCCTCTAGTCCTTGGAACACGGACGCCATGGTACGCTGAAAAATAGGAGCCGAAACACTCAACCCAAATGGTAATCTACAAAAAACGAATAACCCTTTAGGAGTCGTTATCGTCAATAATTTACGAATTTCCTCCCTCAAAAGTAATTGCAGATAAGCCGACGAAAAATCAACCTTTGAAAAATATTTCGCCTCTTTTAAATGAGCCAAAATTTCCTCAATTCGAGGCAATGGATATTTAACCTCTTCTACCCACCTATTTAACGTTTTACTCTGAAATCAGCATAGAGCCTCAATTTACCATTTAATTTTCTAACCGGTACCAACGGGGTTGCCCATACACTATATTCCACTGGAACAATAATACCATCCCTAACCCATTGATCCAACTCTTCGTCAATTTCCTTATTCCATTCAAAAGAAACTCGTCGACACGCTAGGAAAATAGGTTAAAATCCCTCCTTTAATTTTACATCCACTTGATAATCATTAAGACAACCTAATTTTTCTTCAAAAATTATTTCATATTTCTTCATTAAAAGAGATACATCTTCCCGCATTTTATGTAATTCATTACTCTCAATAGTAACCATCGGGTTCCCATTAATGATAATATTGTCCTCAACCATTAATTCCGTGGAATTTACATACCTCTCAGAATTAAGGGCTAAATTCCCTTCTTCTACGGTTAAATCTGTCCCTTCCATTTCATAAACTTCTTCCCGAGTATTATTAGCAATATCTTTGTTTTTAGTCTCATTTAAGGCTGAACCATTAGGTATGGCAAAAATATTCCAATAATTATTGAAAGGACCTAACTTAACAATGCAATCCCACCCCATGATGGTTTCCATATCTTTCTTCACTACCCACAAATCTAAGAAAAATGTGGTATCATGGAGAATAATTTCCAACTTAGTTTTTCCCAAAACTACAATTTCAGACCCATCAAATTGTCTGACACACATAGATTCCTTTTCAAGTTTACCCCCTGGCCAATACTTATAATAATCTTTTCTAGACATTTTTGAAATGCTAGCCCCTGTGTCAAACAACATGTCAATGTCCCTCGAGTCAACTCTTACCGTAACTCTCGGACAAGGACAAGGTTCGAATGATCGCTCAGTCATTAAAATCTCATATGTTTTAATTGACTGGTCAATAACTATCTCATTTGAAACATCAGTTTCATGAGAATTCACATTTGAACATAAATTCAACTCAGAATTTAGCGGTTCTTTAATAATATTCATATTTTTTTTAACAATATCACGGGGATATTTTTCCCATTCGAAAGTATTAGCATCCTTCTTATCGGAATATTTAACAATACCCTTAGGATATTTCTCCCATCTAAAATTATTAGAGTCTTCATTATTTTTATTTTTATCATCAGGATGAAAAAAATTTCTGTTAAAATAACGGCTTTTATTATAATCATATCTCATTTCAATATAGTTATTTAATTTATTACTATTTCTACCTCCCGACTCTTACCTACTATACGATTACACTTGCAATCATATAATCAATTTTTGGTACAATTTATGGCTACATGTCCCGGTTTGTTACATTTAAAACACAAACGGGATCTACCATAATTCGATTATAGAACCTCAAATTTATTCGGGTTGATCAGAATCTTTTCTAACATTAGAATTTTCTAGTGTCGATTTCCTTAACGGAAAACCCTCACAAAAATTTTGTTCTTTGACTACACAGGTCTCTACCTTATGGCTCTATACCCACAGCGGGTACATTTCAAATCTTCAAAGATTTTTCTATTCCCGGAAAAACCATTCTTTCCATCGGAGATGTTTTTCCCATTTAACCCCGTCGGACCACATATTTGGCCTTTATTACCATTACTATTAGAAATAACCAACTTATTTATATCCTGATATATAATCTTAATTACTTCTTTTATTTCTTTCAATTCTCGGAGGATAACCACAGATCTCTCCACAATATCCAAACTATCATCATTATTACATTCCAAAGTTTCTACCATTTCTGGTCTGCCATTCTTGATTTCATTTAAAACCACATTTAAATTACTTTCCAAGACCGAAATTTTTTTCCAACAATCAGCCGACACTGGAGTGTCTCTTTTCCAATTACCATATAATTTGGTCGCAACCAAAGTACATTTTCCAAATAAAAATTTCAAAATAATATAAATTAAATATATAATTACTATTAATCCTAATGTAATTAAAAAATGATGGCCTATATCCAATTCATTAATGTTCTGATACAAGATTTTATAAACCATATCCTTAAAGATGGCAACTTTATTAATAAAAGTAGGCTCAGAATACTTATCGAAATACACCACCATCGCATATTACAAATTTTTACTCTTAAATTACGTTATTACAGAAAATTATATTATTTTACAAAAATTACGCGTTAATCGAACTAATCTAAAAAATCTTTTTAAAACTATTTTATTTTTCTTAAAACCATTTATTAATTAAATTTTATAACCATTTATTAATAAATTTCTAAAAAAAATTATAAACAACAAAACTGTGATTGCGTTGTGTCCTGAGGAAAAATACAAAATGTAAAATAAAATATTGATTTTTCCTTATAACAACGAATAACCCTGGTATCAAGAATATCCTGTAGTCACGGTCAACAACTGAAAAAATATTATCTACGAGAAAAAACAAAACCTTACTTGAAATCCACTGAAAAAAAATTATCTACGAGAAAAATAAAACCTTACTTGAAATCCCTTACTATACTCAAATAACAATTTAAGGGTACTAACTCAAGACGTTAATTTGTAACAACACGATATTTTTACTCTAATATTTTATTAACATGATTTTTTAAATAATCAATTATTTATAATAAACGAATTATTTCAGACAATAATTTCAAAAATAAAAAAATTTCCATCAGTTTTTTACAAAAAAAATAATAATGATTCTTGGTAAAAAAATATTATTAAAAGCCAAGTTGAAATGATTGACATTTCAAATATATAAAAAAATATATATTATAATTTACGACAACTCTCTTGACTGTTAATTTCTAAATTAATGTTTTCTAGTTTTCTAAATTAACTATATCTTACCGATAAAATTTTATTTTTTATGATAATGTATTTTATACATCCGTATAAGATTAATATTCATCATGACTAGGCACCTTACCTTATAGACCCAAATAGTTTGATAAAGGTATATAAATTTGATGTTAGAAAAAAACTATGAGAAGCAAAATATAATTTTTTCCGATTACAAAGTGAAGCTAAGAATATATAACGTTAGAAAAATCTATCAAGTCATATATATTTTACTGATTACATAATATTTAGTTTAAAATACAATATCTAAAATGAAATTTTTTTTAACTAAATAATTAATAGCTATTTTGTATTTAAAAGATATAGTTTTTATTTTCTTACCTTTTTCTACTTCACACCCATAACTATACCTCACTCTAGAACTACAAAGTGGATAGGGCGTAATTCCACTCATTTTGATAAATATACATCTGTACAAGTGTTGGTATCCCTGAGAAAAAAAAATTCAGCAAAATTATAGGGAGGGTGGGCCTCCTTATAATTCACATTCGCTTACTTTCGGCAGATCTATGACCAATATGATAGATAAGATAAGAAGATATAAAAAGTTATAATTTACTTATAAATAAATTAAAAAAAACATCTTTCTAATATCAAAAACAATGAACCTGGATTAAAACAAACTAGTTTAATTTTCTATTAACATTGACCCAGCAAGCCAACCCAGCAGGCCGACCCAGTATGCCAACCTAGTATGCCAACCCGGGTCGGCTCAACAGGTCTAATGGATCGGACTGGGTCGTGGTCGATTTTGCGACCCTGGCTCTGGGTTGGGCCAATTTTTACGACTTCGACTCGGGGTCGTGGTCGAAAAAAACCAACCATTTAACAACACTAGTTTTGAGGATGAAATCGGAACAAGATCGGTATAAGTGAATATCGTACAAACAAAGAAAAATATAAATTGTAGTGTAAAAAATAAAACAAATCATTTATAAACGAATATTCTACAAACAAAGAAAAATATAAATGGTAATATAAGAAAAACCCATCACTTATAAGCGAATACCGTACAAACAAAAGATAAGATAAATTATAAACTAATTAAAAACACAACAGTTTTTAAAAACAATGTTAGAATGTACAGATAAATAGGCTTGATTACATAAACCGATACTTTTTATTAAAAAACAAAGTTAGTTTAAAAAAACAATGTTAGAATATACAGATAAATAGGTTAGATTACATAAACCGATACTTTTTATTAAAAAAAACAAAAATAGTTTTAAAAAACAATGTTCGAATATACTAATAATAGCTTGATTCCAAAAAACAGGGTTGTTAGAATCTATAAAAAAACAGGCTCCATTTGGGTGCACCTAGCCTATAATTTTATATTTACCCAAATTTGGAGGCAAGTATTTACCCCCAAATGGAGGCACGCAGCCGAAAATATAATTTTTAGCCTCTGCCACCTTTTTTTAGTACTTTAAATATGCATAATTTTCAAGGAAATTTAGATTATCTGATTTTTGCAACATCATTAGTATGCTTATATTATTGGCATTTTGCAATAAATGATTTTGATGACTTTAATACCTTTATGATTCTAAAACTTTATTCAAAATATTTTTACCATTGGTACCATCTAATATTGATAATATTTTGGACTAATTTTGCAACTGGATTGATAAATGTGGTATGAATTTAAGTATTCATAATTCTAATATTAAATTTGTATCAATAACTATTCAAATTATATTCTCTTAATATTTAGATGCTAACAGATTTCAATATATTTAAGCATTCTTCAATGAATAGCAAAATATGCTTAAAATGGAAGATTTTAAAATTTTGGAAACCTATTGCTCTAACTGTTAATATATCCTTTCTTGTAATGCTCTATACTTTATGGCCCAATGAATGGATTCTCATCTTTAAATCATTTCATGTATATAATTATATATTAATATTTTAACAATAATTGGGAATTGGGGATTTAAATCATTTCTAAGTGTACATAATTGTTTGAATATATGAAAATTTCACTGCAAAGTTGAACAGGTCAAGTTCTAGATTATAGATTAGCAAAGCTCAACCCAAGCCATTTACATGTCTAACCCATGGGCTATCCTGTTTTTAAAAAATTATAATGGGTATGGGTGTACATAAATAAATTTTGGATGAGGCTGCACAGTTTATAAATAAAAAACCAGGCAGAGCCTTACAAATTTTAATAAGCGAGCCACAAAATTCAAAATTTGATATATTTTTTGAATTTTAAGCTAATATTTTGAAGTTAAATATGTCATCTTTCTTGATTAAAACCAATAATAATAAAGATTACCTAAAAAATAGAGATAGAGACCTATATGTATCATTTGGTTGCCCTTGAATCCTATTTTAAATATATATATTTTTTTAATCTAAGGTTTTTTTTAATTTTTAGAAAAAGTAAAAATTGATTTAATAATATGTATTTGAGCAAAATTTTTAATAATTGATTCATATGTTTATTAAATCAATATAAATTTTATTTAAAAAATTAGGGTAGTTACTTAGCCATCATCCCCAATTCTAGTTTCACTCATTTGGGGGAGGGGCAGACAAAAATCTTGGAGGGCAGTTAAAAAAAAAATTTCAACACCACAAAGTAAATATTTAAGTTATTGGAGCACAAAATTGAAATATACAATTTTATTTGAAGTATACCTCATAAAAATTACAATGATCAATTATATTTATAAAATTTGATGGAAGATGAAAATTGACTTATAGCTGGAAAGAAATAAGTTGATTCATAGATTTACAAATATTATACAATAACATTGATATAGTTTAATTATACTTGAATAATACTTGTTTGGGATTCAATTATAAAATATATGTAATTAAGAAAATATATTTAACTATATTACAATAGATATTGTGACCAATGATTGCAGTGTAAAACTAACTTTTGGTTGAGATGTATTTTAAATACCTTAAAAATATTTCCAAAATTAATATTTTTAGTTATGGTTTTCATGTCCTAATAAAACTCAAATGCTTATCTGATTTAATAATTATATTTAATGGAGAAAGGTTGAATCACAACTCGATGTGGATGGTATAAATTGTTACAGAATATTTGAGTATAACATTTGACATAATCTGATGTAACACAATCTTTATAATTCTAAACTTAAATAATTTTGCCAATAAACCTTTAAATTTTTTTATGTCTAGAAAATTGAAATGACCATCTTGATTAAAATTTTTTGTAATTTGCTAATTAGTTTATACAAAAAAATTGGAAAATCTTTTAGTCTTAGAATACTATTCTGTGTATTATGAAATTATAATGTTATTCAAGTCCACTTTATTCAAGAACTTTCTTCCAGTTGATAATACACATTTTGTTATAGATTGATTCACCATTGTTTAAGTTATATATTTTACAAGGAAGGCAATTAAAATGCATCAGTTTTAATTAATTATTCACTCTATTTGTATTTATAAAACTTTAAATAAAATCTTCATCCATTATTAGTAACAGTCTTTTTTTCTCTTTCTACATTCTTATTTTAAAAGATATTTATCCAAAAAATATAAAAATATTTTCCAGGAACCAAGAGAATTAAAAAAAATTTCATGGGAAGTGGCGAAAATAATAGAATTGGCCTGAAAAGCCATTAATTCTAAATCACATATCGAAATAAGTAACATTTTCCTTTACCTTTTTGGGCATTTGAAAAATTTTTGTTTCAATAGTTCTCAAACCTAGTGTAATAATCACATGTATCTTTTGCTTGCCAGTTATTTCATGTGCTTTACATCTTCTACACAATTTAATTTCTTCATTATAATCATTATACATATTTCTAAGCCAAGTTCTGACAAAGATAGAAATACTTTTTGAAATCACCAGACACCCTTAAAAATTCTTTAGATTTTTGTGATCCAAATTACTTGTTTAAAGTATCCAGGAAATGAAATTGCCATTGTTTAATTTAATATCTGTTTTCAGCTGTTGAGATGGAATTCTCCTTGTAGTTGACTCAAATACTCCAGGTCAGGATATCTCAATGTTCTATGTGATATTTTTGTTTTTTATTTATACTTTTTGGTAGGTGGGTAAAATAATTGGATCTATGGTCTATGTTTTATTATATATATTTATTTAACACTCGCAATCCCATATAGACTTAGGGTTGTCACTGTCATATTCAAATCAAATTTTTTAAAAAGATTTAAATAGCCATTTTTTAAAGAATAATTCATGATTTAATAAATATTTCAATTTTAAAAAATTGTATATTTGAGAAGGATTATATTATTCAAATTTTTACTTAAATTATGTGTAGGAGACCTTTATATACCACCCATAAAAATAATATTGACACACAGGCCCTCTTATTCAACCTCACTATAATTTTTTAATATTTTTCTGTAATTTTTTTAAAAATAGTTTTACTATCTCTACCATCATCTCTTAGTTTGCGTGTTACTAATCTTATTATGGGCAAGATACATCAAAGTCGAAAGTAATATAAACATTGAAATTATTTATAAAAAAATTTTAAAAAATGACATTAGTAAAATTTTATTACAAAAATTATTGATAACCCTCAAGGTTTGAATCTTCTTTACGTTTTATCTATCACGCTAGTCATATTTTTAGCGTTAATAATCTTGTCTATAATCTTCAAACCTCCTTGCACTATGAATAACCATGCCGTTTACTTACCCCGAAGGCCTGGTGTTATAGCTCACAGAGGAGCCCAATACGTAAATTATTTAATTCATAATAAATATATTATTTACTTCTTCACTGGTTTTAAAAGAATAATAGACCTTTGTTTTCTATAAACAACTAAATCATTTTTCTAATTATGAGATGTAAAATTTTGATTAAAATTACCGTTTACATCATAAGCTTCGTGATGGTGACATATAATTTTAAATAAAACGAACTACTAAAATTTAAACTAAATATAATTTTTTAAAAAAGTAATAATTTGAAAAACTTAACTGAATAAATTGTATCTAAAGTTAATTCAAGATATTTATCAAAATAATTCTGATAAATTCAAAGGGGTATATAAATTTTCCTAGAATTCAATGATTTTGATAATTATAAATTTTAGAAAAAATGACAATAACTAAAAATAAATATTCATTAAACCCTTTAAACAATGAAAAGAGCCATAAATTAGCATTTAGGAAGAAAACAGATCCGCCTGATCATCTATATTATATTTTAATATCCAATTCCTTAAATAAAATCATAAATCACAGTACAATTATATACTCAGATATTAACTAATTATTAACAAAAAATTTAGTAAAAGGTCATTCTATGTCAAATCAAACACCTTTCGGCCCATTTCTTCTAATTTCGATAGAAATTTGTAGGCTAGGCATGTTATATATGTTCTATTTATATCAAAAATAAATTTTAGCTCATTAGCAATTATATTACACAAGATAATAGGGATTAAAGGTATAAAATTGGCTTTTTTAAAAACCTTCTATACTGATGTTAAATAATTAGTTTTAAATTAAAAGCTAAATTAGTTCGTATATTGAATCTAATATTAATAACTAAGTCAATAATTGATAATTATGGGAGAAACATCAAACGATTTTTAAAATTTTTATTATCTATTATTCTTTTACTATTTTTCTAATAATTTCTTCAATAATTAGGTAATAATTTAAAAAATATCACGAATAATATGCAAAAACATAGATGATGCTATATGTGAACGTTTTTATCCAATAAAAGGTTTTTTAAAAATCGTTTTAAATCATTTTAATGCATTAAAATTGATTTACGAGGCGTGCATATTGAAATTTTTTTTGATTTTATCGAAATTGAGCCAGAATTATTTCCTGATAAATCCCTTTTCAATAATGTCTATTTTTGCTTCGAGAATTTTAACTATTTATAATTATAAAATATTATTTACTCTGATTTTAGATTTTTTTTTTAATGAATATAAAAATTATGGTTGAATGTTTGTATAGCTTAGCCCCGAAAATACCATATTCTCGTACCACGTGGCTATGAATATGTGCGAATATCGATACTCTAACTCAAACGATGATGCAGGTTAAATTTAATAAATAAAACTGTATATTTTGATGTAGTTGTTAGTTGCACGATGACAAAGAGACACTTACCTTACACATTTCTTATATGTGAATTCGAGAAATCATTGATCTCGAAAATATAAATATATTTTAGGATTATTTTAATCTAATTTTGATTAGTATTGTTTTACGTTTATAAGGTTATAAATTTTACTAAATTAAGGGTACTTATTCACAGTGGCTCCTACACTTTCAGAGCGATGGAAGCAGAATACCCCGCCTGAAAAATACCCCCCCCCCCCTACCATTCCTCCAAAAAAACACTTAATTATTTTATGACCCCCAATCTCAATTATTATTTAAAAAAATATATACTTTAAAAATATTTGTTTTTAAAATTAAAAGACAAAATGGGAAGAGAGAGCGAAGGAATTTATATTTTCGTCAATATTTAATTGATATTCTAGATATCATTTTAAACATCTTTTCCACCATTCCCTTTGATATAAAAAATGATGCTTAATTTAAAAATCTTTTTGATTTATCATTAAATCTTTCATTAAACTGCATTATTATCAAATCAAGTGCAGCATAAAATACATTTAGTTATTGAAGGATTTTATTTAACAGTAAAACCCGATTCCAATTTTCAATGTTTTAAAAGTAGACCGATACCATTTGCATGGGAATTAGAAGGGGTACTGCAACGATTAGAATCTGTGGGAGGTTTTATGAAAACTAAAATTTTCATTACTTCTTCAATTGTACCCGTACACAAAAAGGATGGATCCTTACCAATTTTTGGTAACCTTCGGCAGACCGTTATTGCAAATATTTTAGCTGATCAAATCCAGAATAAACCAGTTATTAGTCACACTAGGTAATGGATCAAAATATGTGGTTGGATTTAAGAAGCGTACTTTCAAATAGCTTTAGATGAAGATGCACAAAAGCTTTTAATGACGAAACATCTTTGAACTTTATAGTTTTACGCTACTTTAGGTTAGAATATCTTTAGTGCCGGCAATATTTCAACAAATAATGGATATAATTAAAAAGACTACCCGACGTTGCGGTATATTTGGACGGTATTATAATTACTGGGGAATTAATAGAGATTCATAAAAGAAACTATAACCGTGGTAAAAACGTTAGAATGAAACGGTATCAAATTATATGTGAAAAGTGTGAATTCTTAGGTCATAAAATGCATGATGTAATAAACTATATAAAAATTTATGAATATAATATATCAAATAAATTAAGTAGGATTTTATAAATTTTCAACGCCGTGCTACCACCTAAAAATCGTCAGGGAGTATATTACTCAGCTTAAATCCATCGCCGGTCTTTTCGGCTTGGCAATTTGCGGCAGTGACTTGAGCCTGAGGCGCCCAGGTCTATTTATTTTACATATTTTCATAAAATAAAAGGAGCCAAAATTTGATTTATTTAGTATATTTAGAAAAAAATTGAATATTTTAAAGAGTTGCTTGAAATGTGATAATATTTTTCTTATATTATTTATGAGAAAAGAATTTAAAAATATTTAAAAGTCACATTCAATCATAATATCTATTTAAGGTGAAATGATTGATTCTGTAATTTTCAGGGTATGAAAATAAACAAAATACACCTAATCATTCTACGTCAAAGATCACCTTCTTCACGAGAAAAGGAAAATTTTGATGTTTCTTGTTTAGCCTATAGTTTACAGTTAGTCATTTTTTTGCATAAGAAATATTTATTACAACATTGTTTCTAGAATAGTTGGTAAATAATATAATAATCAATGTAAATATCGGTTTTATATGAATATCGGAAAGAAAATGTGTGGATCGATACAGCCCTGATATTCTTCTTATTCTAAAACAAAAGATACATTTCTTATAAAATAAATATATCTATCCAGCTTTTTTAATATACCAGTTATATTCAATAGTCAATATAGTATTTATTTGATTAATTAACAAAAAATATTAATATATGTATAAAAGGCAAGTTGGTGGCCCTTGAAACAGACGTGCAAGTTAGTTATGACGGAACTTCATTCCTTCTACACGACCCTTATCTCTACAGAACAACAAACATTCGTTCTAAATTCCCACTATTGTTTCGCAAGTTCGCTTATCTATTCAATTTCACCCTCCAGCTCAAGCTTTTGAACGCCGGTTCGTGGTTTTTAAATGTAAGATTTGATAATTAAAAATTTCTCCCATCCTCGTCTTTACCTCTCCGTGTCAATAATTTTGTAATAGAATATATAATTTTTTTTATTCTTAATTATACTATTTATATTCATATCATTATTAACATTGATATATTAATAATAAATTATGTCCTAGATTTTAAAATCTATATATAAGATTTCGATTAAGCAAATACTGAACATTTTAATCAGTATAAGTTAAATTTCTAATCTAAGTAATTTTGAAAAATAATTCTATTTAGGATTTTAATTAAATGGCTCTTTAATTTTGCTTAAAATATATTTTTTATTTTTTTTAACATTTAGGCAATTAATATATTTAGTACATTAGTAGCTATTATAATAATTTGAGATTAACTCCATATTCATATACTTTATTAATTCAACACTAATATATAACTGCACATATTCATTATTAAATATATTTTCTTTTTTAATTTTTTTTAAAAATATTTTATTTCGATTTAAAAACAATTGCAATTTGCAATAAAAGATATAAACTATATAAAAATAAAATATTGTAATGTATTAAAAAATGAACATTAGTAGGTGCATCTAGGTTAAGGCACCGTGGATTGATATACTATGAAACCTACAAATTTCCATTGAAATTCGTTGACGTAGTTACAAACCTTCATGAGGATCACCTGAAATTTAGCGCATTTTTTGGCCGAGTGCCTTGAAAAAATCCTTTGCTCTGGATCCAAAAGCACCGATTGTGTCAGAAACAATGGGGGTTAGAGTAATATTAGTAATGCTAATGTATTTATTAATTTATCTAATTTCCGCTCGAACTAAGGTATTAGAGCTAAAGGATGGTGCAAACCGATAAACAAATGTGTAATCCCAGGCTAGTGGCTGCTCCATGGAATAAGTGTCATTACGTCGATATTGTCCCCGAGATTAAGACCTGCAGGTTCCAAAGTTGATGGAATATTAGCTGAACGGAGAGTTGCAGAAATAATTTTTAGAGAAATTACAGCATGCAAGATGAGGGTGTGACGATATCACAGCATAAAGAAGACCTATTCCTATCCGAAGAATAATTCCATAATAACAATCATGGTAAAAGAAATACAATCATAATGCTAGAATATTCTTGTTACAACTTCTATAATTTTGAATGACTGCCCTCCATGAACTAGTTCATATTAGATACTGACTCATTGCAGTTTTAAGTTTGGGCTTGTAAGACCCATTTTTGGATACGGTCGCCATCTATAACATCATGCTCAGTACTCAAAATATAGGAATAAACTATACCAATGATATTAATAATTACCTAGACTGACGATTTATTTGGGCCATTCCATTCAAATCAATCAAAAAAGGCACATTTTCGACCGACCCCTTTTAAAATTGTTAAAATTTCTGGAATGTTTGGATTAGGAAAAAAATAAGAAATTCGTTTATTTTAGCTCGCTAGAACACCTGGTTCCCAAGATACAGGGTCTCAAAGGTGCGAAAAATAGTCACTTTCAAATCTGTAAAATTTTTAAAATGCTTATATCTTAAAAACTAGTTGTAGTAGAACTAAATATAATATATCAAATTGTAGGTAAACAAAATCTTTAAGTATCTATCATAAGAAAAAAATAATTTGGCTCCAATTTGAGTCTTCTCCGATTTACTTATATTGCTCCAATGTTTCTAAGTAATAAAGGGAACATGTTATTCGTAATTTAGAACAGAATTTTTTTTAACAATAACTTGTAGTTGTATATAGCGATTCTATTTTATGCAAATAAAAATGCATATTTCTAACATCAATTATTTTTTCCTTTTCATCAATTTTTCTATTAATTTCAACATTTTTTTCCAATATTTTCCATTTATTTTTTCTCCATATATAATAAATTACTCCAATAAGTACAATTAATATCAATCCTAAAGAACTATTATTGTATTTAATGTATATAAAATTTTTTATTGTTTGTTTACGGTTAAACATAGTTAATTTTTTTAAAATTTTTCATTTATATTTCAATTTTTATTTAATTTTTATGCTTATAGCGGTTCTTTTCTAATTGGTATTTATATAAATTTTTTATTTTAATTTTTACATTTGGAATTTCATTTTCTAAATTTGTGTATTATAGGTAGTAATTAGTCGTCTAATATATTTTAAGATTTCTTTAACACACGGCAGTGGCATATCCAGGATTTTCTTTAGGGGGGGGAATTTTTTTTGGGGGGGGGCTTCGCCCCCAAATTCTCTTTACCTGTCGGCCAGCTTTCTCCCGACCTTCGGCCGAGTCTTATGTTTTAGCTATTCTATTAAATTATTCATAATTTAATAATAATTATATTTCTGTTTTTAACTATTATTTACTAATTCGTGCTTATGGATATTACAAGCCTATTTTTTATTATTTGATAGGTATATTATATTTAATAAAGTATTTTTAAATGTAGAGTTGACATAAAGTTTAATGTCAACTTTTTTATAAAATTTGCTTTAAAAACTAGCCTTAGCTTAAATTCTCATACAATATATGTAGAATATAATTTTTTTTATTGAAAATACTAATAGTAGTGTGTATAAAATATTGACTAAAAAATAATTAAAAAAACAAGTTTTTTTTAACTTCTTATCAAATACAATAATATACAAAAATTTTTATTAAATACTATAATTATAATGAGATTTTTAATTTTCGTGGGAATGTTGCCAATTCATCAAGAATTTCGTTTGTCGGAACCAAATATCTGTGGATATTTAACAGAGCTAACCCATTTAGCCGAGATTCGGAAGTAGTACTTCGTAGATATGTTTTCAACCTTCTCAAGTTGGAAAGAGTCTTTTCATTCGTACATGTTGTAATAGGAAAACATGCAAGAATATAAAACAACTTCAAAATATTAGGAAATTGAGCCAAAGTTTCTTTACACCGATTGAGCACATCAATAGCATGCTCAGGTAAAATAGCTAAACGTAGTAAATATTTATACCACAATTCGAATTCACTGATTAAATTTATTTCAGTATCTATATCATAGGAATAAAATTTTGCTAAATATTTAATTTTATTAATAGTGACATTAGAAAACGAAGAAGGATCTTTGGGTAATAAAACTTGAAGATTGCTAAAGACTTGTTTTTTATCTAAAAACCGTACTTTTATTTGCCATAAAAAAGTATCTAAGAATGGGATAAAAATGGATATTTTATAATATTCTTCAGTTGAGCCAATATTTATTTTACATCTCAATAATGACCTTGATGCTAGACGAGGTTTAATTAGTGTTATATCATAAAATTTAGCCTTCGATTTAACGTCTAGATAAATATTATGAAAATAATTATCTACATTCATTCTTATTGTATCTACCTTTTCATATATATTTTCCGCCAAATCAATAACCTGAACCAAATCTAAATTTGGTTTTTGTAAATTTCTACAAAGTAGTGAGCTAAAAATAATTTATTGATGCAACTAGCAGCAATGATAAACTCTGATTGATCAATTGAATTCAATAATGATATCGCTTCTGACGACACATTACTTTTTTTCATGCTCAGCCTTATTTAACTTGTATTTCTATTTCTTCTGTTCTACAAAATGGAAGTAAAAATGAAAAATATTTAAATATAGATATTTATAAAATACTTATTAATTCTAACTCACTAATAATTTTGAATTTAATAAAATAAATATATATAATAAAATAAATTATCGTTTCAACTCTTTGACTAAATATATTTCCAATTTATTAATATTTTTGAATAATATGTTGGAAAATTGATATTCAAATATTGGTAAAATTTTGATTGGGGGGGGGGGGGTAAAATTTTTATTAGCTTATAATGATATTTATGAAAACAGTCAAATTTGCAATGGGGGGGGGTTTCTCCCTTCCCCCCCCCTTTTAAAAACATTCTTGACATTTTAATTATAAAAATACTTTCAAAAATATGTAAATACAACAAATATCGTTTCCTTAGCAAAATCTTTTTTATTGATTTATTATAACATCCAGATGAAACATGATAATTATAAAGATTTTAATCTGAAAAATTAGCAGAAACAATATCACCTACACGAATAGCCATTCAAAATGGTTAATTTCTTTTGTTTGTTTCTGATTTTTAAATATAAATTAAAATTTTTATTTGCTTTAATAAATGATAAAGAAGAATAAGAATCATTTCTTAATTTTGAAAGAGAAATGATAAGAGATTCAACAACAGCCAAAGCTATTGATATGCCTGAATCTAATTTTTGCAAAATATTAGAAATATTTGAACACATTGAGAATAATTTTTGAAATAAAAATAATTGTATCAAATTGTAAAATAATTTGTAAAATCCCATTTTCTTTCTCCACATCTCCGGGGTCCTTAAGATACGAATGGTTGCTGAGAAGGTTCTTTTACCACCTCTTTCGTTTTAACCCATTAATGGTCAAGATTTTTCTAGTGGATAAAAATGCTCAATTTTTCCAAATTATATTGATTAATGCTCAAATATGATATTCTAAAAAAATCAGCCAAAAAAAATAATCCTAAATAGAAAATCTAGCCTGGTGCATATATGCACCGTTAACCATTAAGAGGTTAAAAAAGATAAAAATTATATAAAATACTATAAGATCAAAAAAACAACAAATATCTTTATTCTTTTTTTGTAATTTATAATAAAAACGAGAAAATGTTTATATATTATGAAAATCCTTGAAACATTTAATATGGAGTGCGATTTGACATGTTTGGCACATATATCTTGAGTGCGTATGGCAATATCTGCATCTTCGTCTTTTTCCATCTATAATTTTGGATAAATAATGTCCAGATGAATCAATAGGGTTTTCACACTGTAATGCAAACTGGCTGGCGTGACCTGTACTTGAATTTTTTTCAATTTTTACTGGCGTTCGAAGGAGGTAGTTAGTAACTTTTAGTCTAAATGCAAGCAAACTCTTCTTGTCATCTCGATTCACGAATTTCCAGATTTTCCATGAATTTACCAAAGCTACAT